GGAAGATACAGTAATTATAAAGATCATGCGACTTGTTATTGATGACTAATGCTTGTTTTGATCACGTGTAAAGGGTAAGGATCACGCGACCCTTCCCGTAGGGTCACGCGACCTGTAGCCACAGGTATCGCAACTTGGAGGGATTCTAACAATGTGCGTCATGACTTCTGGCTAAGCTGACAAGTCAGTTAGTCCTTGATAGTGCACACACTAGTCGCATCCACGTGATTACAGCCTTGGGGCCAGTCCTCAGCTGTCACGTAATTAGTATAATTAGAATCATATTGATCAGTTTGTCCGTCACTCATTATCCCGGACAGTGATAGAATATTCACGCTGTGGAGATGATTATGTCTTCACGGTGATCAGCAACAGTGATGGAGATGTCGCGATAGGGGGATGAACTGCCTTTGACACGACGTAGGTACCTGTGAGAGTTCATTGTTGCCAAAGGGACCAATGCATTCAATGAGTAAGATGAACCTGCAGCGGTCCAGCTTCACCCACGTGGGTTGGCTTCACTATCGTTAGCTAGGGTTGAGGCAATCCCGCACGTGGGAGATTGTCGCAACTGAGTGGAAGCCGACCGTCGGCAAAAAGCAGGTGTCTTCGCATACCAAATTCAATTGCACGACACCGGAGGAAGACCACCATGGGACTACGAAAAAGTGATGAAAACAGAGTATTTATACCAGATTGGACTCCCCACCACCCGGAGTCACGATGTCCAGCATCTATGAAGGGTTCCTTGACATGATCTCCACGTTGTTCTCCGTGCTGCTCTCCGCAGGCAATCCCGCCCTCGCGGCCCGTGACACCTTCTACCCTCCCCTCAACCACACCACCTACATCACCAACGCCTCCGTCGGCACTTATGGTGGCATCTACAATGCCCCAGCAGATCATGCCAGTACTCCAACTGCGCAGGATGTCTACAACTACTGTTCCATGCCCCATCCCCGTGCGGAGACCTACTCGCTTCCGTCTCCCCTGGCCAACCAGTCCGTCGCTGCCCGCCTAGTTTACCTCGAATACGTGCAGCGACATCAACGCCGCACCCCCTACAACATTCTTCCGGGCGGCGAGGTATGAGACCAACTCTTTGTATCTGATTGGTCTAGCTAACGTTGTTATAGAACCAAGAATATCATTGCAACAACCTCCAAGCTCATCTCTACGTCTCTCCGGCCTCCCAGGGTCCCGCTCCAATCCCCGTGTATGGCCAAACGTATTCCGATCCCTCCAATCCATTTTTGGCAAATTATGCCAATGGATCGTGTCAGTATCCTCAATTGACGATTGGGGGCTTTCTCGATGGCTATCAGCACGGTCGCGACCTCGGCGCTGTATATCGGGATCAATTGCAGCTAATCCCATCATCACCAGACGAGGACAATGGCAAGAAGATCTGGTTCCGTTCGAGTACTTCGGCCCTCACCCAAGAATCCGCCGGTGGGGTCTTGCGAGGTATTTGGCCCGAATACAATGCACCCCTGCCGCTACATCAGCAGGCTTCCGGGGTCGACACGGTCGACCAAGGATACTCCTGTTCTGCTCGCAGCGAGGTGCTCTCCGCCATTGAATCCACGGCAGAGTGGAACGAGCATCTGACAGTGACCCAGTCGCTCCGTAGTCAGCTGGCAACCATGTTCGACGCTGATACCTCCAGCTGGATGTCGACCTTCGACCACTTCTCGGATAATTTCCAGGCCCGCCTCTGCAATGGCTATGAGTTACCCTGCAGCCTGCAAAATGAGACTCAATGTGCCACGGTCAGCCAGGCAGAGGAAGTGTTCCGTGCGGGCGACTGGGAATGGAACTACTGGTGGCGACACAACGCGAACGCGACTCGGTACATCCAACTGGTCGAAGGTCTGTTCATCGGAGAGATTGTTCGCCATCTTGAAGCAGTGCAGCAAGGGACATCCGAGTTGGTTCATAGCCACAATTTCGTCCATGACGGAGATATTGGACCCATCCTTGGCGCGTTAGGTATTAAGGCATTGCGGTGGCCGGGCATGGGATCGAATATTGCATTTGAAGTCTGGTACGTAATGGCACCCGAACACAACTTACAGATAAACCCAGTATGGGCTCACGAGTCTCTAGGCAAACATCAAACGAAGACTTCTACGCTCGCGTGCTGTACAGCGGACACGCGATCCAGACAATCTACGGCACATTGGATTGGATACCTCTATCGTCCTTGATCGGCATTCTTCAGCCGTATATTCCCGACGACATCATCTCGATGTGCCAGTCTAGCTAAATTTCAGGAAATAAGTCTACACGGATACCTGCGCTGGATGGCTCCTTCAGACAAGACACCAGAAATAATCAGTCCTGGCAGCAATAGCAATAGACGCCATCTGAGCAACACTGGGGGAATTCGCCATGACAGCAGACAGCCCGAGAGCAAGGCGACGAGCAGACGTAGCAGGCTAAACGGTTCTCAGTCCATCTGTATCTGTCTGGTCTGGGTAGTCGTGTAGAACATACAGTCAGCGGTACCACCAAGCACCTTCTGCGCCGAGGCGATAGAATCGAGCTTCGGTTCTTGCTTGGCGCTTGTCATCTCAGCTATTCAAAAGTTAGCTAAAGACTCGTCATTTGGAAACAATACCAGGTTGGTAGTTAAACTTAGAGATTTGTATTACCTATTGTTCGGTCATGACGTGCGTCCACTGCCAGCAGGCTTAGCCCCAGCGTCCAAATATATATTGTTGCCTTCATCATTTGCTCTTCAGTTGTAAGTAGTACGAATTCAGCCAGTTTGTGGTTGATCCATCATGCATCGAAATTCTGCATTTCCTATACTATATATCCTGTCGTTGCAGTCAGCTGCAGCCATCACTCGACACTGCAGGTATCTTGGCTGCATATCTCCCATCACCTGGTACGAAGGGTATGCACTGCCTCAGGCATCAACATGTCACCTGCTGCCGAGCCCTGGAAAGAATTCCCCGAAAACCTTCCATTTCCCATCGGGAATCTCTCCCCATCAAATCAACCGCCTCACTATTATTATTTCCCGTCGCTTCAGTCTCCACCATCGGCAAGTCGGGTCCAACTGCCTCCGATGCAGCCTGCATAACTGACATGCCGTTAGTCCACCCGCCTGTCACAACGCATAACTCCATAGAGCCATTAGGGTCCAGACAGCTGGACAATGTACGGTGCCTACGTCACGACTACACCCACGGACCAGACAAGCTGAAAGGCTACCAACAGGCACACGTACCGCGTACTTTTTTATTCTGCAAGGCTGTTGGAAGCTTTGCGGGCCATCCGATCTCGATGCGTCTCCATGATTGGCCCCGATAACTGTTATCGATGCCCCAACCGGACGGAATCCTGGTCAGGGCCGCAACATTATTACTATTGCTTAGAAATGCGCCTCCGCTCATCCCGAGCTTGGGTCCCCTTATCACATCATTTCCCCGTCGCTGTCGATGCCCAAACAACAGATATGGGTCTGCGGGGGGAATGCATTCTCTCTTTTAGACACAATCTGTAGACTACTCGAATACACAATATGACGGCCCAGGAACGCCCCGAAGGAGTCCCGGAGGAGACGACGCCTCTTTTGGGAGAATCTTCCAACGATGGGGAAGATTTGGCGCGAATTCAAGTGTCTCGATGGAGGGGATCGGCGATAGTGGCTGCCATGGGGTTGTTGCTGTTCATCATGAGTATGGGAGCTCCTTTGTGATCCAGATGCATCAAGCTGACATTGATCAGCAACCAATATGTCAATGATGACTACTGCGCAATCTGAGATTGCGGCTGATCTGGATGCTTTTTCGGAAACAACATGGTTCAACTCGGCTTTCTTGGTACATAACCATCTATCGAGCCATGTGCCGGGGATCCACATGCTAATGCCATTGTTAATAGATTGCCATGTCCAGCCTCACACCTCTCTCCGGTCGACTCTCCCAAATTTTCACGCCTCGTGTATACATTCTATTTTCTTGCACATTATTGTCGATTGGTCTCTTCGTGACAGCATTGGCTCCCACACTGGCTGTCTTTCTTTTGGGACGAGCTCTTACAGGATGTGGTGCTGGCGGGCAAATGGTCATTGCCTTTGTCTTGACTCTCGATTTAACGAGCAAAAAGCGCCGAGGTCTCTTCATCGGTCTAATCAGCGCCGGGATGACTACCGGTGTCTCCTCTGGCGCCGTGCTAGCCGGTCTTCTGACGCCGGCTTACGGATGGGTAAGTTACCCTAATAACCATACATACCGCTCTGTGAAATAACACCAAGTGTATAGCGGATTATCTTCTGGGTTCAAGCACCTCTAGCTCTGATACTGGGCCCAGTACAGTATTTGGCTATCCCGAAACGTCCAGAGGATGAGCACCTAAGTGGACGCGCTCTGTTACGGAGGTTGGCGAAGGTTGACTATGCTGGGGCATTGACGTTGGTAAGAGCTCGTCCATCTTAGGCTAGCAAATTCTAATCGTTATAGACCATCTCCGTCTTCCTGTTACTCTCAAGCCTCGCTGCGGCGGTGGTCAAATTCACGCCTATCCTTCTATCGCTCGTTTTCTTGGGGATCTTCGTCTTGGTCGAATTGAGATTCGCTACCGACCCCATTATCCCGATGGAGGTGCTCAAGAAGAGGAGCGTCTTGCTAAGCTGCTTGGCGGGTGCTATTTGTATGATGGCACGCTGGGCAGTCCTTTTCTACTCGCCAGTCTACGCACTCGTCGTTCGCGATTGGTCTCCTGCCACCGCAGGCTTGATTCTGGTACCAACCAACGCCGGGTTCGGCTTAGGAGGACTCCTAGTCGGATGGATACACATTCGGAAAACGGGCAGCTACTACATGTAAGTGTTTCATCCATTCCCTGGAGCAGAGTACAGTCCATCTAACTCACTTCAGCTCCGGTCTCATCGCCTTCTTCCTGTTCGCCTTGACAAACCTCGTATTATCCGTTCTCTCCACGCCGCACTCTTCCACGGTCGCCTATATTTTCGCCAGCTTCTTCAATGGTCTCTCTGTCGGAGCAGTCATGAATTATACCCTATCCCATTTGCTGCACCTCACTGACCCAGACATGCATTATGTTATCAGCGCCTTGCTTGGAATGAGCAGAGGTTTCGCCGGCAGCTTCGGGTCCTCAATCGGCGGGGGTTACTTCCAACGTGAGTTGAAGAGAGGGCTTGAGACGGGGTTCATGAAACATGGACTTGCCAATAGAGATGAGCTGGTTCGCAAACTGCTCGGAAGTCCGGCACTGGCGAAACGCCTGACGGGCGTGGAGAGGGCGGTCGCTGTTCATAGCTACGAACAGGCCGTGAAGACGTTGCTACTGGGTGCTTGTGTGTTGGCCATTGCGGCGGCGGCGGCCCAGGCTGGGACTGGGTGGACGCCGTATAAGGGGAAGAAACCGCAGGATTTGGGGGATTTGGAGGCGACGGCAGAGGAAGAGCAGTGAATGTGGTACACCTACTGGTATGGTAGACTTATTTCACGTCTCCTATATAGTCAGACATGTCTTCTGCTACTCTTCCTTTTTCCTACAATATAATAGCAGCTTATGGGCCTACCCAAATCAATTAGCTATATTTGTGGTCCCCTATGCATGGTACTTGAAAGAAGAGGAATGCTACGACAGTAGGCCCAAGCCGGTGCTGTTGCCTTGCTGCCTTACCGCCTTTCTGCCTGGCGGAGTCTTGCCGCACCCGGATCGCCTTGATTCTCCGGCTGTCGGTCTTCGTTCCTTCACTTCTAGCAAAGCTACACCTCAGCAGCTCCTGGGTGACCTTCAATTCACACCACAATCACATTACGCCGTACTCAGCCACCCCTACCGATCACTCACCATGCCTCGTGCCGTCAGAGGTAGTTTAACCGGCGCAACTCCCACTTCACTCAATCGCTAACCAAGGTGTAAACAGGAGTCCTCATCGAGTGCGATCCGTCCGTGAAAGCCATCATCCTCAAATACGACGAAGAAAGACACGACTACATCGTCGAAGACCTGGATGATGACCGCCATTTGGTCATAAAGGAGAGTCAGTTGCAGAATCTGAAGGCGAGGTTGACAAAGGTAGGGATGTCGATGAAAGTTGTTTGGGGCCTAAGGCTGATGAGAAAACAGGAGCTTGACGATAAGGTTATGCAGCCTGATGAGTCGGAATCGGAGTGATTTACAAAGTTTTTCGACGCGGAGTATGCGAGGATACGATCGCTAGCGCCAATTTTCCAATCCTTATCGCGCAGTTTTACATACTGGTGGGAAACACGCCATGAGGGTTCGTGGTCACGACTTTACAAAGGTCTAGTGCTCGAGTTGGGCCCCTGAAATGGATTGTTTTGTGTTTCGACAGTCCTGATGCCGAGTCGGCTGCGCATGGTCCAAGGTTTGGGCTGGCGCGCCTTCCTTGCTAAGCCATCTCACAACGCCTACTTCTTCGATTGGCCACAGTCAAGCAGCACCTCAGCAGCTCTTCTAAACCATTCTGAGTCGATGGAAGACTTCACCTAACCACACTCGCGATAACCTACATTCTTATCAATTATCCTGCTTGCACAGTCTTTGCCTCTCACACTTTGTTACAGACGCCTCCCCAGAATAACAACATGGATAAGACCAGAATTGGCTACGTGGATTGCAGGGGCCAACCCGGGAAATTCTTTCAGGAACCAGTCGGTACCCCCAAGCGCATCAAGCCTGCATTCGATATACGGTTTTTCAAGGACGTATACTATCTGGATGGAGAACTTGCCGGTGCCATCCCAACCTCAATCGAGCTCAATATCATTGATCAGCGGACTTTGGTAATCTGCGGCACAATGGAGCGCGCATACCCTAATGACTCTCGAGTTCCCCCGTCGGAACTAGCAGCGCTCGAAAATGATATGGACGCGGTGCTGCAGCAGATATTAGGTGCAATAAAAAAGGCCTGCGAAAACCCACACGATGAGACGGCTGGAATTGGGGACGATATCCCTTCCAGTGAAGATGCTCAGGTGTCCTCAGACGGACAAAGTGGTACGGATCTCGAAGTAACGTCGAAACCAGCTTTTCCGCGAGAGAAAAATCGCCAGGGCGAGGGGAGTCGACAGAATCCGCGTGTCTGCATAATCCCGCAACTTCGAGGACAGGACAAAGGCAAGGGCCCGGCCAAAGGGATTTTGCGGAAGCTAGGAAGTAAAAACGACGAGCCTGAGAGTCACGATGATCTGCAGAGTCGAACAGACTTCGATGAGCGGAGAAACTCCTACGATTACTCTGGTGAACACCCGGATCCCTCAAAGACCTGGGTCTGGCTGTTGGCTGAACGAAAGGTTGGCCGGTTCTTTCGCTCCTTTCGCTTCAAGAGACCGATCAACTGGAATGCCGCGCAAAGCCTCTTTATGGGTGGTCTTCTTCTCCTGAAGCTTCCGGTGGTTGTGGTGCCGAAGAAACGCGTTCATTTCGAGCTGGTTTGTGATTAGGATATTACTATCATGCTGTTGTTCATGCTGATAGGTAGATAGTGATCAGATAGCCAAGAATACTGATATTATCCAACATGTCGGGTCGCTAGTGACGAAAGGTATAATCAACTAGTTGAAGATACCTGTAAAAACCGACCAAGAAGACCCAATGCATGTTCTATCCCATAGATGCAAATCTAGTCGAAGCTAGTATACAAAACACCCAACACCCAGCCAGCCCATATAACAAATATGATACTAGAAGCGAAGAATGCACCATTCCAGAAGACAAAAAAAGAAAATGAAAATGAAACAGAACACAAACCTCACCACTACCCCCTCTTATCAAACCCACCCACCTACACAAGAGAAATCCATCTAAACATCCACCACCCCCTTCCTCTTCCTCTGAAACATGGGATAATTCAACGCATCCCACCTCCCATGAAACCCCACCCCGGGATGCCCCCAACTACTCATCGCAATCACCGCAATACTAATCATCGCCCCCTCCAACACCATAAACGTCGTCTGATCATTCGCCAAATGGCTACTAAACCCCCCGCACAGCTCCGCGACCCGGAAACAACTCCGGATGTAAATACATATGACTGCTAGCCCTTGGCAGAATAGGAACGCTTCCCAGCGTTTACTTGCCCGGAGGCTAGCGAAGTCTGGGTTTAGGGTTACCAAGTCTCGTGAGGAGGAGACGAGGTCTTGGCTTTCGGATTCTTGCTTGCTGTGGTTTGCCATGCGGAACATGTTTGATGTTGATGATGATGGAGGGGAGGGGTTGCGCGCGCTGAGACGGTAGATCCGGAAGGCGTAGTCGAGACAGATAACGATGTAGAGGGTTAGGGAGGCTACTTGTGAGCTGAGACCGGCTATCATGATGTTGATTCCGTCTTGGACTTCCAAGGCCGAGTCCGAGGTTGTAATGGCGCCGCCGGCGGCTTGGAGGAGGAGGGAGATGATGTCGAAACTGATGAAGATTAGGGAGTAGTTGCGCTGTTTTATTCGGGAGAGTTGGGGCGTGTAGGCGCCGACGATCCGGGCGAGGGAGACGTAGATGGCGCCGCTGAGGAAGGCGGGGGCGATGGTTAAGCAGACGAGGTACCTGGTTGGGAGGTTAGTTGGTTGTGGGATTTAGGGGAATAAGGAGGGAGAGGGGGTAAGTACATGATAAACCACCGGTCAATGAATGGGTTGTGTCGCATGTAGATGCGTCCTATGTAGCCCAGTACTTCAAGGATGAGACCGCAGATGGCGCCGAAGAGGTAGCCCCAGGTGCGGTGTCGGATGCCGAGGTAGAGCTGGACGGGGATGAAGAAGGCGAATAGAGCGATGTAGAAGGCATTTCCACCTAGGTTGGGGAGATAGGTGATGTGGGCGTAGGACATAGGACATGTTTCCAGAGTGCATTGTTGGCTGCTGGTGATCCACGGCGCGGGGGCCGTGACGGTGGTCATGATGGTGACTTCTTTGTAGTCGGAAGGTATGACTAGTATTGAAATAAGCTAATTGAGTGCCAGAATCAAGCTGTTCTGGCACTATTGTATCGCTGCGACACTATCTGCTCCTGGATGTGCGTGGGTGGTGTTCGTCTAATGCGCCATGTATTCAGCGGTAGTATATAGTAGCAGTAGTATACCACCAATAAAGGAGTAATTTCAATGGGAAGAACTAGGAAAGAGGAAACAAACAGCTTATTAAATGAAACAGTAGCCATTCTGGCTGCCTGCCGTCGATCGGACAGCGCAGATCGAGGCGCATCATTTGTAGCTCGTTTGGTGTAAATGTAGGGACTTGGTAGGGCCTCGATCGGAAGCTCACAAAGAGCATATTTACGCAGCAGCGAACCGGCTCACTGCAAGTGGAGATGCCGGCGTCAAACCTAAGACGGAAATGGTGGATGCTGCTGTTTTTACGCACCGACCAATCAAAATTCACCGCCATCTGGCACCGCTGACAAAGCACCTCACCTGCTGGCAGCAACGCGTGACTGCCTGATTCGGATGCCATACTTGCTACTCCCTCGCTGGTTGAATCTGACTCCGCCACGCTCTTGACTCCCCCTACTTAGGGACTATGAACGCCCGCTTTTTTGCTTCTGCCTGACGTATCACACCGTCAGTAGGCTGTCAGATTCTGCTGCATTTTCTTGTCGTTTCATGATGATCCGGATGCCGTTCCGTGGACCGGCATATACGCGGTTGGCACTGTGGTCGCGATGTTTGCTACCGGCTCTCCCGCTCACTACTCAACCTAGGCGGAAGTTTGGGTGCACATTGATGGCTTAGAGTATACCTGTCTATTTGCTACATTACTCCATAGCTGTTCGCCATTGAATGGGCCCCTCTAACAAATGCCCTATTAATTCCAAACGGACAGCCTCCGAGGCCCGACTTTGGCACAAAATTTAGCTTTTAATGACAGGCCTGCTGCAGCTACAGTATCACTCAACTAAGACAAGGGCTCATGGTGCTGCAAATGTCTTCAAAATATCACGAGAAGCCCATCATCAATAAATTCTGCAGGATTGAAATAATCGCCCCAGAGCAAGAAGCCGCTCTGCCCTGCGTTTCGTGTAACTCGGAGACAGTCAAAAACACAAAAACGCATGCGGCACACCCGTTGCCAAACTCTACAATCATGAGAATGCCTCTGTAGTTAGAGACGAGATCTGCAGACCCATTCATCTCTATCCACCGTGACTGCATCGGGCATAATAATGCCATATCGCTTATATTAGACATTTACAGTGATTTTCGTTTGACAAGATGGGTGGAGTTTCATCTACTGCTTATCAAGAATTTTCATAGTATGATTACATCCATTAGAATCTGCCTATCTACAAATCTCCGAGAAAACCAGTCAAACTCCACCGTCAAACGCCAAATACACAATATGACCAACACGATACAAGTACTCGCAAAACAACAGTAGTCGAATGGGGAAAACAGACTATGTACAGGAACCCGAGCACGTCACTCACTCAATACCATCCCCGAGACGGTTGGCAATTTCCATCAGCGACTCCTTAACCTTGGCCTGCCACTCGAGAAGCTGCTTCTGCCGTGCCATGCGCGTGTTATAAACGAACTTGATCTGTAGGGAGTCTCCGATTACGATGGCCTGGGTCTCAACCAGCGCGGTACGCAGAAGACCGGACCCAGATCCTGTCGCCTTTGGCTTGTTCACGTCCACATAGCGAAGCACAGAATCGTCGCGCTCCAGCTGTTGATACTGACCAAGATAGTTCATAGACAACTCAAACGGACTGTGGTGCTCAAAAGCGGCATGGCCTTTCTCGGTCAGCCAGCGGGTTGCCCAGTAAGGAACCCCGTTGCCCGGCACACTGGCGCGCACATCTCGCACAGCCTGCAAGTCGTCGATAATATCACCAGATGGTTTGATCACTACCGGAGTGGAAGAGGTAAACCATCCGATAGTGTTGGAGACATCAAGCTCTCCGCCAAACTCATCCCGACCATGACTGTAGATAAAGACCGCAGGTACCGAACGGTCACTGAACGTCGCGCTAAAGGCGTGGAAGATTGCCGACAGAAAGATGTCGAGCGGCTTAGTCTGATACTGATGGTTGCATTTTCCCATCAAGCGGGAGGTTGTATTGGTGTCTAGGGAGAACTCCTGGATAGTTTCGGTCACGAATAGGTTCATAGTCTCCTCCATTTGCCAATAATCGTATAGGGGAGCAGGGACCGAGAAAGGCAGCACGTATTCGGGTGTCCATATCTCATCGGCATGCTCCTTGAGCTTACGGCACCACAAGGCAAATGAGTCGGAACGGTGGGAGGTGATTGCCCCAGTGGATAAGCCTTGTTGCATATCTTGGAGGAGAATGCGCCATGAAACGGTGTCGATGATCATGTGGTGTACAGTAAGTCCAACATACCGGTCTCCGTTCGGAAGCTTGAAGACTATGGCACGCATCAATGGACCACGCTGCAAATCGAAGCCAGACTGGTTGGGCGCAGTGTATGGTTCGATAGCTTTCAAGTCAGGAACTTCCATCTCCTGGTACATATGACTATTGGACCGGTCCAGAGGGATATACTGCATCCAGCGACCTGAGTCATCGCGCTGGAACCGAGCACGGAGCATGGGATGACGCTCTACCGTTGCATTCACTACCGGCTTTAGGTCGGAATCAGAATGGACTGATAACAGGAATGTAGTGTTGTAACGATTGAGATCGCAGTGCTGTTTCAGATCGAACTCCCAAGTCTGCTGAGGAGAGAGATTGAATGGAACACCGACGTCGTCTTCCATTGGCTCAGCACTTTCATCCAGAGCTCGCACTCTCAGTGCTAATTCGGCGATAGTAGGACATTGAATGAGATCTTTGACTGCGAGCGATAGCTTGACATCACGGCACTGAGCGATAACCTGCATGGCTGAGATGGAATCTCCACCAAGACTCTGGAAGGACCGCTCCATACTGATGTTTTCTTCGGGTCGGTTCAACACGGAGGCCCAAATGCGTCTCAGCTCATATTCGGCAGGTGTACTCGGGCCGCCGCTGGCTTTGGCTCCTATGTTGGCAATCTGCTCATATGTGGCATTGTCCAGGGTTTCGACCCAGCGTCGGACCTTCTTCCGGTCCAGCTTTCCGGAAGGCATCAAAGGGATTGCGTTCACTGGTACCCACAGGGCCGGAACCATGTAAACCGGAAGGGCTGCAGATATGGTGTTAGCAATTCTGGTCACGACCGCCATAACTTCAGGTCGCCTGTGCTCTGGCACGAGAGACACTCGTCCGTCCTCGACAGGAAGATCAAAACCCTTGAAAGATACAACAGCCAAGAGCTGCTTCTTGAACGGGCCCTGAGATGGGAGCAAAGTAAGTGCATGGCGGATATTCTCATCGCGCTCGACATTGTACTCGATCTCGCCCAATTCAACACGTTGGCCGCGAATTTTGACCTGCCCATCGGCTCTGCCGATGAAATAAATTGTGCCATCTGCATTGTATCGCACGAGATCACCAGTCCGATAATACCTCTCGCGCTCCCAGGATCCTGGAACAAAACTCTTCTGTTCGACAAAGGCAGCAGCTGTTTTCTCAGGATCTTCCAGGTAACCTCTCGCCAAAATGGGTCCTGAAATCAAGAGCTCTCCAACAGCACCAATGGGGAGTAATTTAGAAGGCTGCTTCGCATCAACAACCCAGAGGACGCCACCAACTGCATGTCCAATGTTGGCTGGATCGGTAGTAGGTTGCAGCCCTGGGTTAGCTGCTGCTGCCACAGAGCACTCACTAGGTCCGTATCCATTGTACAGCTGTACCCTGTCAGCCCAGTTAAGAATATCACCCTTTGAAAGAGATTCTCCGCCAAGAATTAGCGTTTTCAATGAGGGCACATCGGATGGCTGTAAGAGTTTAAGAACAGATGGAGTAAGGAAAGACCAGTTGATATTGAGCACATTAATGCAGTGCTTGATATCCTTGCTCAAATCTTCGTCTGGCACGCATATGCATGCACCGAACATGAGTGATGTCATGATCTCTAGGAGACTAACGTCGAAGCTGTAGGAGGCAAACTGCAGCACTCGAGATGAGGGACCCAGGCAGGCAAGCTTTCCTTGAGCCAGGGCTCCAGAGCAGAAGGCAACATGTTGCACAACACATCCTTTGGGCTTGCCTGTGCTGCCAGAAGTGAAGATGACGTAGGCGTCATCATGGGGGCGGGCTCTCACGACACCGTGGTGGAGATCATCTCCTTCGTGCTTTAGCTTGTCGAGGAGAGCTTGATCGACACTGACAATCGTTGGAACCAGATTGTCCCAATTCGAAGCGTATTTTGGAGATGCCAGCACAACATTGGCTGCAGTTTGAATAGAAGCCTCGCGGAGGCGCTCCACCGGGGTTTTAGGGTCGAGCGGAACGAACGCAGCTCCAGTACCCAGGACAGCAAGCATGGCAACGATAGCCCATGCTGACTTTTCGAATGTCAGCGGCACGTAATCTCCGGCGCCAATACCAAGGGTCGTTAAGTATTGAGACAGAGATAACCACATTCGTCCAAACCTCTCATAAGTTATTTTTTCAGCCAGAGTGTCAATCGCAATAGCATGAGGAGTGCGCATAGTCTGTTGAAGCACGAGGTATGGAACTGTAGAAGATGCCGTTTCTGGCACATTCTGGTTCCAAGATGCAATTTGCGACAGATCATACCGGCCGATAACACTGAGCTGATCAACTCGGGCCTCAGGGTTCTCAATCACGGACTTGAGAATGGCAGAGAATGTTCCCGAGATGGACTGAGCTTGGGATTCCGAGATACTGTCGGTCCAGTATCCGAGTTTGATGTCCAGGTTGTTCGGCGAATCGATAACGTGAACCGTAATATTGTACTACACCAGGTTAACTATTGCAAATTGTTATCGAGTGAAATCATACCTCTGTCGGCTCTCGTACGACGAGTCCCTTGAAGTCAATATCAGTTACAGTTTCGTCGCTGTCAACATCAGTCATCGTCTGGAAAGAAATGCCAGTGTTAAATAAAGGCATTCCTGCGAGTCCAAGTGCATGTTGAATCTCTGCAAGCGAGCAGTGCTGATGAGCAAGAGAATCCAGGAACTCTCTTTGGCAAGCCTTCAAGGCATCCTTGACAATAGTGGAGTCGTCTAGCAATGCTTTACATATGAGGACGCTGATTGTTGGCCCGACCATGTTAACTAGGTCTTCGACGGGCGCATCTCTTCCGGATGCCAGATAACCGAAGCAAATATCGTCTCGACCAACATACACCCGACAGACAAGAGCCCAGACTGTCTGCACAAGGTTGGATATCGTGATACTGTGGGAGACACAAAAGTCGCGCAAAATGCTGGCAGGTACCTCAAGCGCTACCTCGGCGTACTTCAGCTCATGTGTACCTTGGGCCTCAGCCAAACTGGGAAAGTAGCATGGTTCGACCTCGGCAAGATGGTCCTTCCAGAAAGTGATGCTGGCGGACATGTCATTTGCAGCAACATATTGGACAAAGTCCCTGTACTTGGCACCTCCATTGGGTCTATTTAGTGTTCCCGCGTAAGCTCGCTTCAGGTCTCTCAAAATCAGTGACTTGGATACGCCATCGACGATGGTATGGCTAGCGTCAACTCTGCAGAACACTCTACCGTCCGCTGTGAAATTGATTGAAAACCGATGGGGAGGCATTACAGGGTTGGTGCTTAGGTCGATTGTCTCCTCCAGCACAAACCCAACGTCGACATTTGAGCAAGGTGTTACTGAAACTTCCGCTCTAGGACGTCTCAGAACAATTTGAGCGTACGGCTCTTTGCCACCAAAGTCGTCGGTAAAGATAGTCCTCAGCGCAGGGTGGTAATCGACTACCTTTTGCCATGAGGAGAGCAATCTACCGATGTCGATTGTCTCGTCAGTCTCGCGGGACGTCACCTCCCAGCCGATGGATACGTTGTAACTGCCCTGCTCCCTGGCTTGGCTCATAAGCAGACCTTGCTGCAATGGAGAGCAGGGATATATGTCCTCTATCTGATGTGACTTGAGCCCAAGCCGTGGAAGGTGCTGACGATTAACTCTGTCAATGGATGTATAATCGAGTGCAAGTAATGGGATGTCCGCCAAAGTGAATTCCCTGACCGTGTTGGGTGCTAGGATCTCGACTGCTTGCGCGATGTTCCGTCTGTACTGGTCGACAAACAGGGATAGCTTCTGAGCGCTGACCTGAGCGGACCCGACCGTGATTCTGAACTGTCTAGCCTCAAGGAGACATGAAACCTCGATTATTGTGTTGACGATGGCGCCCAAACCGTGTCGTCCATGTGGAGTGATCTGCTTCAAAACAGTACCATCTATAATTTGGCCAGGCAAGCCGTAGGTGAAGATGATGTTGGAAGAGCCAAGTGTGCTACTTTCATCTCTTCGGCGAATATTGTCCTTGATCTCACGGATTAGCTGAGGAGTGATCTGATCCGAGTGTTCCACAGGCACGTGCACGGATTGCATCGAAGAGAATTGACCAACAAGGCCTCTCAAGTCCTTGCTGAGAGTAGACTCCCGGGCAGAGCTCTCGACAATAGCCCGGAAGGGTTGGCCCTGCTTCTTGAAGATTTGGTAATATGAGGGGATCAATGCCGCCAGAAGTAGTTCCGGTGTGTTGGTGCCGTACTTCGCGTTGCAGGGTCCAGTGAGAAGCCCTGTAATTTCGCAGTCGAGTTCTAGCGTTTCCGTAACATATTCCCCATATTCCCGATCTCCACTGACAGTGGCAGTGGTAAAGGTTTGCAAAGAGCTGGCAATAGCCTTCGTGCCACGTTCGCTTCTGAGGTGGTCAAGCCAAGCATGAGAGAACTCGTCTCTGCACCAAAGCTTACTTTCCCAGATATGCTTCGTTTTGTCGTCATCTGACTGAAGCAAGTAATCGAGGTGACCGATAACAGTACTCAGAGACTGAGAATCAAGGGTGGCTGCATGAATGACAAGAGAGATGTGCTGTATGCCGCGAAGAGAGAACAAATCAATCATGAAACTTGGGTTACCATTTATACCAAGGCACGTCTGACGACGTTGCACAATCTCTTTTGCTTCCTCCAAGCTAGTAACATGGTTCAGGTTCAGGTGGTAAACTGGAGTTTCAAGCTCGTCGTGGTCTTTGAATGCTTGAAACCATTCCCCATTTTGCTCCTCGAACCCGAGAGTGAGCGCTGGATAGGAAGAAGTGATGCTTTCCAAGGCATTGTCGAGCTGCTGAATACTGACTTTGTGATTGAGCTTCAGCAGTATAGCGTGGTGGATGGCACTGTTGCCAGAACGTGACGCTTCGAAGAAGGTGCGCTGTAAGTGCGATGTCGGAAGGTGATCTGCCTTGCTTCCCAGGAGCACATTCGCCGAGCCAGACTCCTCTATTTTAGAAGCAATTTCAGTGACGTTGTACCGCAATAGGTCAGCTACTAGAACCGTCACTCCAAGCTTGCGGAACTCAGACATGACAGCCATCGCTTTGATAGAGTCACCACCCACAGACAGGAAGTTGCTGTATTTGCCAATTTGCTCCTCCGGTATATTCAAGATTTTCGACCAGACCTTCTGTACCAATGTCTCTGTATTGCTCATAGACTCTTTGTTATCAGGTTTGTCGGAGTTACCCATGATTTGCTGGAAGGCCTCGGTGCTGATATCAGCAACAAATCCCGCAACCTTCGTCCGGTCCATCTTGCCCGATGACATGAGCGGAAGACTCTCCAGGGCAATCCAGACGGTCGGGACCATATAGGAGGGAAGCAGATGGGACAGCCTCTTTGCAATTGCCTGTGTTTCTTCTGCGGCCTCGGCATGGTCCACCAAGCGGATACTCGGGTGTGTCTGCACCGAGGCAGTCGTATATCGCTTATGAAGAGACACAACACCAACTAAGCGGGATCTGCAAAGACCAGTGTATGGCACGAGTGCCATACCGTTACGGATGAGTGTATCTGTCCAGAGATGGTGCTCTACCTCCCCTAACTCCATGCGCTGCCCATGGAGCTTGACCTGGTGATCCTTACGTCCGATGAAGTGGATCATACCGTCTGCATCGTAGCGTACCAGGTCACCCGTTTTGTAGAAGCGATTCCAGATTTGTGAAGTACCCGGAGTCATCCAAGTAGGGCTTTGGAAGAAAGCTGCTGAGGTCTTCACAGGGTCTTTGAGGTACCCACGCGAGACAATAGGTCCTTGGATGATCAGCTCACCTGTGGCGCCAACAGGGAGTAGTACGTTGTGATTTTGCGGATCCACTATCCAGCATACACCACCGATCGCTCTACCGATATTCCGTGGGCTGGACTGGGGGTTGAGCTGAGTGTTGGCAGTAGCTGCGACAGAGCATTCACTGGGCCCATAGCCGTTCATCAGCTGGAGCCTTCCAGCCCATGTCACCATATCTGACTCTGACATAGCTTCGCCTCCTAGTACTAGAGTCCTCAAGAGCGGCAGTTGATCGGGAGTCAATACCTTCAGGACCGACGGCGTCAAGAAAGCCCAGTTGACACGGAAGTCATTCATGGACTGGACAAAGTCTGCACGCCCAAGTTGCTCATTCGGGATGCAGATGCAAGCACCAAAAATAAGCCCCGTGAGGATCTCCAGAATGCTCACATCAAAGCTGTATGAGGCGAACTGAAAGATCCGAGAATGAGGTCCCATGTTGGCCGCTTCGCCCTGCCGCAGGGATCCGCTGCAGAAGGACTGGTGTTCAATCATCGTGCCTTTGGGCTTTCCGGTGCTACCAGAGGTAAAGATCACGTATGCAAGATTCTGAGGTGTGACAGCGACTGGAGCAAGGCACCTGTCACCACTCATCAGGACTGTTTGTTCACTGACTATTATTGCCTTAACAGAGAAGTCTCCGAAGAGATCGTGATATTTGGCTGTCGTCAAAACAATTGGTGCATCAACTTGGCTGACAATCTCTCGTAGGCGTGATGAAGGGTGCGTCGGGTCGAGAGGAACAAAGGCACCACCGGCTTTTAGTACTGCAAGCATTGCTATGACATACCACGCAGTCTTCTCAAAACATAGTGGCACAATTGCCTCAGCCTTGACTTCTAATTCGACTAGTACGGTAGCTAGACGATCGGATAGGGAATCCAGCTCTGCATACGTCATCTGAGTATCCCAAGAGTCAATAGCAAAAGCTTGTGGCTGCAGGGAAGCTCTCTGTCGAACTAGTTCATGAGCACACTCAATCACTGGAGAAGGAGAGTTAGAGTTCCAGTCGAGGATCTCTTTCTGGCTTAGCGGGCCCAAGTAAGTTGCACTTGCAAGATCAGTGTCCGGGTGGTTGTTGACCAATTCGAATGTCTGACGGAGAGTATCAGCCAAATGGACTGCGAGGTTCTCTGTTACCGTGAACGGGGTATAGAGCATATGAATGTCAATGCCATTTTTAGTATTGATGGCATGAAGCTCGAGGTCAAGCTATACGTGGTAAGTCTTTATCTTTGAGTTGCTCATAAGCAGGTGCGCCTTACCTCTGGTGATGGCGAGATGGGTCTGCTCGCTACACGTTCTTCGCGAAGGATTATAGCGCTGCGGAAGGTTTGATATGGTTGAGCATCGGGCTTGGCGTCTTGTGCTTCCCGCATGGACTGAGGAAGTTGGAGAGTTGTCCTCACTGCTTCGAGAAGGTCTTCGACTTTGAGAAATTCGTCCACATCAAATGATATAGCTGTTGCTATTGTTAATTCCTAGTGCTTTCGGACATCGACATACGATACTCACTCGTGGAGCGGGATCCAATTGCTGTCTCGTCATGGTATTCAAAATTCACGCTCTCCGTACTATAGCAACGAAGGGCAAGGCCAAAGGCTGTGCAGAGGATCTCGGATACCCCAGATATGGTGCTAGTCTTCCCTTCAAGAGGCAAGAAGTCATCTATAGAAACGGGTTGCTCCGAGTCTGAGATAAAGTCATGCTTGATACTCTTGACAGACTTAGGCTCGATGCTAAGATGAGGTGGCTCAGGGGTGGACAAAGCAATTGGAGCCATTTGCGCAGCTGATCAATGGGAGGAAGGTAGAGTTTGCAGTTGAGAAAGATAGACTGCAGGTCACATTGATTAAAAGGAACTTACGGAATGAGAAAGACAGCCTCGCCTAAGGATATGTCCATATCGACAAGGCTTGTACAAAGATGTCCGGCCTTCGAGAGGTTGGATTGAGCCTGAGAACCAACACTACGTTTCCCTGTCAGCTTCGTGTCGAAGACTTCCAGCAACAGGGGCTGAGCGAATCTATCGAGCAATTGAAGCTGATACGATGGTGGCATGCAGCCATCGCGTAATTGCCTCATGGCCTGTATCGACCCTAGTCTCGATACCAGCTCTGATACCGAACCGTCACGTATTTGATATTTTACACTGTTACGGTAATTATGGACGTAATGATACCGTGATCGGGGAGAACTGTCAAGGGACCCACCGGCCACATGGATAGCAAGGATCCTTCTTGCATGGTCCAAGGCTTCGCTCATCGCGCCAGCGCCGATCGTGTGGGGTCCAAAACATGAAAGTCCAAGCGTCGCTGCAGGATCCGACCTGCTCCAATGGCGTGGTTATATTTACGCACCCGCCAATGAGCGCCACCCACGCCTGGACAGCGTCTCCGCGGTCGTTTGCGCCTATGATTATGCCCCTCTAGGACATACAGGCGCTCAAGCTGGCGCATTACCCTGACAATGTCGGGGGTAGGCAGGCAGCAGCTCTCTGCTGGTAATCCATCTGAGAATTTTGAACAGTATTGGAGCACCCCAAGCATTGCTGTGAACTTAGGCAGTGCGACTCAACGAACAACATAGGAGTGAGTCCTGGTAGTCCGAGGTCTAAAGCGCAAACTATATCGCTTTACTCCAGATGGCCTAAATTCACGCTTGCTGCCAGTACTCCGCAGAATAGGCAAAGTCGCAATGAACTGTTCTATCGCATCCGAAGATACTTCGGGGCCTCAGGCTCGAGACTGCTATGGCGGCTACGACTTTACTTTGCTGTTCGAGGAGTCTGTGATGACGATCGGCCCGATCGGACTTTTACTCCTTTGTCTTTTCCCTAGAGTGGTCTACCTACACAGGAATGAACCGAGAGACGGAAGTAAAGATAGCGCTTATACGGCCAAACTCGTAGGTCGCATATCTTGTTCTCCTGCGCCCAAGTCGTCGCATCGTTAACTTTGTCGCAGATCAGCTACGGGTGGTTTGCTGCCATCCAAACGGCTATTTTAGTATCATGGACATCAAGTAGTGAACCCGTGACACGCACGACTATCCCAGCTGCGGTGCTCAGTCTGGTCGCTGCTATTATGCTCGGTGTCGCATCGCAATTTGAACACACGCGCTCTGTGAAACCGCCCCTTCTCACCGAAATTTATCTCCTTCTTACCATTGCCTTCGATGCCGTTCGACTACGCACGCTATGGGGTGTTGGGTATCAGGGTCACATATTCAAGCTATCAACTATCTCGGTTGTGTGGAAGTTGGTCTTACTCGTGCAGGAGGCCTGGCCTCGGGCGCTTGGTACATTGGAACAGTCATACAGTCCTGAAGAGAAGGTCGGGTGGATCAACCGGCGCATGTTTTGGTGGGTCAATCCGTTACTGTTTCTGGGGTCCAAGAAAGATCTACAGGCAGACGATCTCTTCACACTCAACCGGTCCCTGCAGTCTGAAGTTTGTTCGAAGAGCTTCTCCAAGGTTTGGGAGAATGGTAGGCTCGTCCCCCTCTCTTTTTTGAATTTAGCTAAGTATGAGTAGCAAGCCCAACAAGGAAAGGCAAGAGAAATGGACTTCTCAGGATTATGGCGTGGGAGCACAAGCTGGTTCTTCTCACTGCCGTTATTCCTCGGCTGTGCTTCACGGCTTTCACCTTCACCCAGCCGTTTCTTATCGATGCGGTCGTCAAATACCTGCAAACTGTGTCGGAGAAACACAATCGCAAGGATGGATATGGGCTGCTTGGTGCATATATCATTGTATACGTGGGTTTAGGGGTGAGTTTGGTCAAATGTTTGGTGCTTTGCGAAATGCTAATACTGGTTCAGATTTCCGAAGCCTGTTACCAGCATATCACCTACCGTACTATCGTCCTCATGAGGGGTAGCCTTGTGCCGCTAATCTATGAGAAGACGCTCTCCATGGATCCGAGATCCGCCGAAGAATATGCCCCAGTAACGTTGATGAGTGCTGACATTGAAAAGATAGCCTTTGGTATGCGCTACATGCATGAAGCTTGGGGTAATATTATCGAAATTGCTTTGGCACTGTGGCTGCTATATCGCGAGCTAAACTATGGAGGACTGAGTCCTATCCTTATTGCAGTCGGTAAGTCTTTCCACCGGAGCAGACAAGCTAGGACTGGATATTAACATTCTGCTAGTGTGTGGAGCTACTGCTGCAACCATGGCACCGGCTGTCGGGCGACGTCAGGCGACTTGGGTTGAGGGCATACAAAAGAGAATCGACGTCACGACATACATGATCAACTCCATGAAGAGCTTGAAGTTGGAAGGACGGACCCCTTGGTTCATGGATTTTGTACAAAATTTGCGAGTTCAGGAGATAGGATACGCTAATCGCTTCCGATCCTTTCTCATATACGCTGTCAGCTTGTGTTAGTACATTATTTCATGGCTACTTGAAAACTTTCTTACTGACATTCACCAGCATTCGGAACTTCGGTCATATCGCCCGTCGTCGGCTTCGGTATATTCATCGCCTTATCGCGATCTGACAATGGCCCGGAGCTGACCACCGCAAGGGCATTTACAACTCTGTCTCTGTTTTCGGTCCTTCAGAACCCAATGTCAATGTTACTTCAATCTGTTCCAAATCTCATCTCGGCCGTCGGATCTATCGAGCGCGTACGCGTGTTCCTAATGACCGAGAACACCAAAGAAGTCGGCTTCCTCAGCTCCTTTACCTCCGAACAGACCCTCTTCCCAGAAATGGACAACCTCCGATACATGGAAATGAAGAATACAGAAATGGAGAATGCAGTCGAGGCGTTGAACTGGAGTGTGGGATGGGTATCTACTCGTGAGCCGGTCGTGAAACGAATGACTTTCAAAGTCCGACCGTCTACGCTTACGATCATTACAGGCCCAACTGGCTGTGGGAAGTCGACTTTGTTAGCGGGCCTGAGGGGCGAGACAGCCGTGACCAAAGGGTACATGAGGTGTCGCTACTCGTCTGCCGCATTCTGTAGTCAAGATCCGTGGCTGCAGAACGGAACTATTCTCAGTAATATCCTTGGCCCTGCGACTTATGAGCCGCGATGGTTTCGGGAGGTTACGCAGGCTTCTGGCTTGAGACAAGACCTGAGGTCGATGCCGTTAGGTGTTCAGACGGTGGTGGGAAGTAAAGGACTGTCATTGAGCGGCGGCCAGAAGCATCGTGTTGTAGGTTACTTAAGTATCTGGAGCTCTAAATTACGAGACGCTAATAACTACCTTGACAGGCACTTGCTAGGGCGCTTTATTCACGACAGCCCTTGTTGCTCCTCGATGATATATTTAGTGGGTTCGATGCGGACACAGAGAAGCTAGTGATAGCTCGGCTGTTCGGTCAAGGTGGCTTTTGTCGGAAACACAACCTGACCACCATCCTTGCAACCCATTCCAGTAAGTAGTCCATTTAGACATCCGGGAGAATATTAGAAACTAACCTTGATCTCAAAGCTCGCCTTACCTCCTCCGCAGACTACACCATCACGCTCGATAGCAAAGTCCGTTTCTCAGAAAAGGAGGATTCAATTGTTTCCAGCCTCCCCGGCCCTAGCGGAGGAGACTTTTTCCCAGAGCCCATAATGAGCGATGCAAGACTGAGCTGGATTGTGAGACAGTCCAATCCCGATGTACCGCACGAACTTGCCGCGCAGCTTGAAACATCTGGGCGTCGGACAGGCGATGTGACGATCTATAAGTACTATCTTGAAATGGTTGGAATACTCAACTCTGTGGTATTCTTTATCGCGGTCGCAATCTTCACATTCAGTTTGGCATTTCCGAGTATGTACTGTAATCCGCTTTATCTCATTAACGCTCACATTCGCAGGTGTATGGGTCCAGTGGTGGGCTGCTGCAAACGAAAAGCACCCATATAAGGACCTTGGCATGTATTTGGGCGTGTATGCGTTTCTAGCAGTTATGGCGGAACTGTCATTGTTGCTGGGATGCTGATAAGTATTTATCTTCGCCGTGGACAAGGCTAAAACTGACACGAAGTACGCATATGATGAGCAATATGATTCCCCGGGCGTCAAGAAGATTGCATAAGATTCTGCTTCGCACTGTTTTGAAGTACGTTCACTGCTCTCCCCTCATCGCCCTACTAACTTCTGCAGCGCTCCGATATCTTTCTTTAATACGACGGATTCTGGCGTCACTACGAACAAGTAAGATAGCCATCGCTGTACTTTGACATGAAGCTTACAGGCGCATTAGGTTCAGTCAAGACATGCAACTAGTGGATATGGAGCTACCACTTGCTCTTGTTGAGACGAGCGTTGGTATGTCCAGAATGTCGCCCTCCCATACAGAACGCCACTAACATTTAGCCAGCCCTCATGTCTGCAATAGCACAGCTGCTAATAGTTTTCATCACTGGAAAATACCTTGCAGCCATCATCCCACTATGCCTTGCAGTCTTCTACTTTCTGCAAAAGTTTTATCTCCGAACTTCACGCCAGCTACGGTTCATGGAACTAGAAGCCAAATCTCCCCTCTATTCCAACTTCATGGAGACCGTGAACGGACTGGTAACCATTCGCGCTTTCGGATGGCAGACTAATTTTCTCAACAATATCTGCGGATTAACAGATGCATCGCAACGGCCGTATTACCTGCTCTTCGTTATCCAGAGATGGCTCACCCTCGTCCTTGACATGGTTGTGGCAGGAATGGCAACGCTAATTGTTGGAATCGCAGTCGGCGCTCCTGGTTCTATTGGAGCTGGTTCTGCGGGACTGGGACTGCTGAATATCATTAACGTGAGCGAGAGTCTG